GTGATGGAGCCACCGAACGACAAAATCGGACCCTCGAAGATGCTTTTTGAGATGTCAAGTCTCATACTTGGGTCACGACTGGTCCGAACATCTTGGAACCATCGAATATGCACATGAAGGCCTAGTTCAAGCGTCAACGGGGTTAACACCATTTGAAGTGGATACGGGAAGAAAGTTACACAACCCAGCGCTGAACGAGATCGAAGCACTAAACGAGTATGCAAAGAACTTCGCGGAACACCGCAAGGAACTCGTGCGCATGGCACTTAAAAACCTCGAGAAAGCACAATCTCGACAGAAGAACTACTACGACAAGAAGCGATCGTTGGTAGAGTTCAAGGAAGGCGATTATGTGATGTTGGCGACGCGAAACATTCCGTTGAAGCATGCTCAAGTCAAAAACAAGAATGAAAAGGCGAAGCTCGTGCCACGATTCATTGGGCATTTCAAGATACAAGAAGTTGTGAACGCCAAAGCGATGCGGTTGAAGCTGCCACGAAGCATGAGCAAGCTTCACGATGTCTTCAATGTGGATCGCTTGAAGCATCATGCCCAAAACCCAGAACGATTTCAAGGAAGACCAATACCCAAAGCAACTCGTTCTCGATGATGCGGGAAATGAACTACACATCGTTAAAGCGCTGTTGAAACAACGGCAGTTCAATCGCAAGAAAGACTACTTGGTCAAATGGCATGGTTTGCCCAAGCACGAAGCAACTTAGGAGCTTGAGCGCAGCATTAAGCATGTCTCCCATTTCAAGCGATTGCTTGAAGACCTGCGTACAAGAATCCAAGCTGCCAAGTCGACAACCGGGGGAGAATGTAATGATGGCAAGGTCGCCGACCAAGAATACGCTTGTCGCATCGTTAACAAAACGATGGCTAGACTGTCGAACAAGATTGTCGCACCATTAACGGGCAAGGCCGTTGAAGAAGCCGTAGAGAAAAGCACTTACTTCATGTAGTTTAGTATAGTATACATTTTCGTAGTTAGTAGTTTAAGACGACAATCTAATCACTTTCCAATCTACTCTGCGAAGCTCGCTACCGTTACAAACTACGCGTCGTGGGTGTGAGCCTCCGCCGTCATACAGGAGCTCATCGATACCGTCCCTATGCGCACATCGCTGCTCACGCTAATAGCGTCTTGGCCGCGGGCGTACATGATGAAACGTTTGGCGTACGTCTGTTGGTCGCGCTCCTTGAAGCCGTCCTTGCCATAGACAGGTGGCTTCGTGGCCGTTTACCCGCTGATGAGCGGCGCCGCCGTTGACTGTGGCAACGGGCTCGTAGGGGTTGGATGTCGCACTGGAGCCAACATCGGACGGCTGCCCATCATGTAGAACGTCGACCCTTCTTCGAAACTCCTTGGCGGGAGCTCCGAGCTAGTGCGATGCCACACCGAGTCAAAGTACGGAGGCAGGCTGCTACTACGAGCACCT